GAGGCAGAGGCGGGCAGATCTCAGTCATTTCAAAGCCATCCTGGTCTACATAGAGCGTAACAGAACAGCCAGGACTATGCAATGAGAAGCTGTCTCTAAAAACAAGGAAGGAAGGAGGGAGGAAGGAGGAAGGGAGAGAGGGAGGGAGGGAGTCCTCCCCAAGAGCAGTCTGCAAAGCCATGCTGCTGGAATCCTACATGAATGGTCCTCAGGACCAACTCCCATTTAGTGAGTGATCTCAAGCTAGCTTATCTGCAAAACCAAGTGTGAGCTTCAAGGAAAACTCTTGCCTCCTAAACCCTGCAAGTATCAGGATGCAGAATCAGTTTTGCTTCCTCATGATGCAAACACCCAGAGAATCCACACCTCTGCAACCCACACCGTCCATGTGCTCTGATTAGACTATGGGTGTTCTCAAGGCCACACATCTCCAGAGCACTTCTGTGAGTGGATACTGACTTGAAGTACCCCGTCTGTCCTCACTGCCTCTCCTCCATCAATGACTGGGCATTTCTTGTGCATGGTGCTGTAAGTCAACAGGGGAAATTTGCTAATTGCCAAGTTGTCCCTTGGAGAGGGCTTTCCTTCCTTCCTTCCTTCCTTCCTTCCTTCCTTCCTTCCTTCGTTCCTTCCTTCCTTCGTTCCTTCCTCCGTCTGCTCCTTGAGTCTTGAGCTCCTTGCTCCCCTTTCAGGCGGCGTCCTGCCTGGGTAGGGACTTCTCTGTTTCTCGTCCCTACCTCTTTATGGGGAAGATGTCCAGGAACCCTGGCCAGAATCTGTAAATTTATCACCTTGGTAATGACAGCAAGCCTCATGCTGAGTGAATTCTGCAATCTCCCTCAGCTACTCCTTTGCCAAAACTCATGGAGCTGCGAGACCCTGCCCATTGGAGAGACTGCTAGCGTTGCTTGAAGAATGCCTCTGCTGGCAAGTGTAATTAGGTATCAGCCAGAAGGCTATTTTTGGAAGCTTGTTTAGGGATCTGGCCCTCCCTCCATATGTCATATGGTGGAGGATGTCCGTCAATTCACCAAAATCGAGCATTGGGGATTACATTTTACAACCGCTTTTATCAATATGTGATATTATAAACCCTGCATGTTTTCATCCCTTAGGGGTGCTTTATTCTGAGTGCACGTGTATATTTGTAGCATTTAGAGAATTCTAAGACCTGGTAAAAATTTTCCCTTTTTATTTACATGAGCCATCCAGACCCTGTGGGAAATCCTTAACTCTCCCATTCTGCAGAAGGCCTGACCCACCCCACTGCAGGACTGGGGAGCCCGTCATTAAGTGGGAAGCAGGACAACTAGAGACAAACAAGGACAGACACTGCTACTGGGGAAGGGCCAGGGCTGGGAGGAGCTTTACCAGGGAGGGACACTTGTCAGGAATACAGGGAGAGGGCCATTCGTCAGAACACTGGGAGACAGTTTCCCTGGGAGGGACAGAGGGCTTCAAAGTAGGGCTTCCTTTTTTATTCTTTAAAATCATAATTGCAATATTTTGTTCCCTCCTGTTATTCCCATCTTTCAAATTCATGCCCCTGTTTTATTTAGTTATACATAATTCTTAAATACATAAATACAAACTGCTCAATCCATATAATGTTACTTGTATGTATGTTTTCAGGGATGGCCTTTTAGGGTGGATAACCAATTGGTATGCTTGAAATCCCCAAACTCTAAGGTAGAGATGGGCAGACCACTGAGGCTCTTGGCCAGCCAGCCTAGCCACAGCAGTGAATGTCAGGTTCGGTGAGAGACCCTGTCTTTTAAGATATGTTGGAAAGCGATCGAAGGAGACATTCAAAGTTTACCGTCTTCCACATGTCCCAGCCACATGTGTATGTATAACCCCCCCCCACACACACACACATACACACAAATGTATTTGAGAGCAATTTTGATGTACATATGATTTTTGCCTTTATTTAAAACAAAATCAAATTTACATGCTAATGAGACAGATACGATAGGGAAATAAGTCTCACCTAGGTATATTAAACTTCAGGGTAAAAAGCATCTCCAGCATTTTCCATAGTGATGAACATTTTGATTTATGATCATCAGTATCGAGAATGTGGCTTCCTGTAAGCACACAGTACAAAGCCATAGAACTATGTTTAGGGCCATTACAGAAACTGCTGCAGGTTCTGTCCTAATACCAATCTAAAAGTCATTTAATGGTATTCAAATGAAACATATGTCAACTTTTTAAAGCAAATGTCCTAACACAATACAATTCAAAGAAGTGTTACTTTGATACTTACATGTTGGTGAATAATGTGGGAAAGCATTTTGAAGAATCTTTATTTTCCATTATTAAGCCATTATGCTTAAGAGAAGAAAGTCTCGTATGCAATATGAAGAATGCAGCAATTCATAACAAGCCAGGTTTCCTCCCAGCTTACCCCAACACACTCCCAATGTTCCACCCTTCCCTGCTTAGAACTAGGGAGTAGTTATTGCTCATGCCCGTCCTTGGCTCGCTGTCTGTCTGTGTATAACCTTCTGCAGCAAAGAAATATAGAAGGCAAAGAACAGCCAGGCAGGTATTCCAGGCCTTCACCCTAGGTCATCATTTCTCAACCCGTGGATCGTGACTCCTTTGGGGGTTGAACAACCAATTCAAAGAGATTGTATATCAAATATTTACAATTCATAACAATAGCAAAATGACAGTTTTGAAGTAGTAGGGAATATAATTTTATGGTTGGGGTCACCACAACATGAGAACCTGGATTATTGGGAACTGCTTCTGGAAGGTTGATTATGGATCTAGAAGCAATGCTCCACCCCAGAGAGCACCCAGAAGTGAAGATCTGACAATGCTTAACCTGGGGAACAGCCAAATCAGGGAATTGTGGCACCCTCTGACATGAAGGGACAGCCAAATCAGAGAAATGTGGCCCCTCTGACCACAGCCAAATCAGGGAAATGTGGCCCCTGTGACCTGGAGGACAGCCAAATCAGAGAAATGTGGCCCCTGTGACCTGGAGGACAGCCAAATCAGAGAAATGTGGCCCCTCTGACCACAGCCAAATCAGGGAAATGTGGCACCTCTGACCACAGCCAAATCAGGGAAATGTGGCCCCTCTGACATGGAGGAACAGCCAAATCAGGGAAATGTGGCCCCTGTGACCACAGCCAAATCAGAGAAATGTGGCCCCTGTGACCTGGAGGACAGCCAAATCAGAGAAATGTGGCCCCTCTGACCACAGCCAAATCAGGGAAATGTGGCCCCTCTGATATGAAGGTTTTGCTCTGTCACCCAGAAATAACCCACCCCAGACTGAAGGGTTGCAGGTGTGGGCTCCACACGCATAATTTATTCTGTCCAGCCTCACTGTGACACTGCCTGGGAAAAGGGTCTAGCTCATTCTTTAGGAAGGGTTTTTAAGGATTCTCAATTGGAATTAAGCTGAGTTCTGTCATCCTTCTACATCCCTTTGTCACCCCGGACAGTGTCCCGTGAAGACCTCATTGTCTGCCCATCCTCACCTTGGAACTGTATGTTCCTTATGTGCACAAAGAAATACGAGAGACAGGAGCAGCAAGGCTCCCAGGCTCCCGCAGGTCTGGATCACAGTTCCCACTGGGGACATTCAGTGGACAGCACTGAGACTTAATGAGTGTGTTGAGGCCCAGGACACACACTAACACCTCAAGGCCCCAACCTTGGGATTTTAGACATAGAGGAAGCCTAAAGTCACTGAGTCCCAGATCCTTCAAGGATAGGAATTTGTGCTCTAACCACCCGTGGGATGCTCTTGCCAGATGCCTTGGAGAGGTGCTTGTGGCTGGCCTGGGAGACGGAAGCTGCCTGAGAACACTCAGTCCATCTGTGGGCAGTAACCCTGTGAACTGTTTCCTTCTCATATCAAATCCCCAAGCTGGCATTCCTACAGCTTCACTTCCATACCCACCCACTCCCAACTGGACAGAATAAAGCATCCGCACATTACTGCTCAGTTAAGTTGTCCAGGAACTCATCAGTCCAGTGCTTCCATCAAAATATCTCCGGTTAGCTCAGCTCTCTCTCTCTCTCTCTCTCTCTCCCTCTCTCTCTATCTATCTCTGTCTCTCTCTGTCTCTCTCATCTATCTCTTTCTATCTCTGTGTCTCTGTCTCTTGCTCTCTCTCTCTCTCTCTCTCTCTCTCTCTCTCTCTCTCTCTCTGTTTCTCTACAGAGGTTGGTGATGGGTTGTCTTTTTCAGTCATTTTTGCCACTATGTTTTTGAGGCAGGGTCTCTCGCTGAATCTGGAGCTCACATTCAGCCAGCCTGGCTGGCCAGAAAGCTGCAGAGAGTTCCGGTCTCTGCGTCCCCATTGCTGGGGTTACAGGCACAGGGCACTATGACCAGCTTTTCACGTGGCTTCTGAGTATGGTGTTTGTTTGGTGAACACTTCGGCAACTGGTCTATCTCCTCCCCTCTTCTGAAGTTTCCTGTTTTGCTGATGTTTCCTATGACGGTGGGGGGCACCCAGAGCAAATGGCATAGTGTGAACCCCGTCCCACGGAGCTCTACAACACTCACTGACCTGCATTTACACACTGTGTCACCCCGCTAGCGTGACCCAGAATTGTGTGTGCCTCAAAAGCAGTGATGGGCTTTTCATACAGCTTTAAAATGAAAGACGCAGGTTGCAGAAAGGGACTCAGACATAATTAAAAGACGGCATCCTCTCTCCTCCTTCACTAATAATAGAATTACTTAAGAGACCAGGGCCCCAGCAAAGTTTATGAATGACAGGTTAGATAATTAAACCAAAAGATGGCTGGCCCCAGGGTAAAATCTATGAGGTACACCTACACCCACCTCTGCAGTCTCCTCCCAGCACTGCCTGGGGTTTGGAAGGGCTCTCAGGAGAAGCTCTACCTGCCCGTATCTCCCCCAACGCTGGACTTCTGTCTCAGTTTGCCCGGTGCTTCGGAGGTGAGATCTTCTTGCAGCTTGTTGGAAACTCACTGGTGGTTTTGCTTTGTGTCTCTGGCAGGTCAGCTAAAGGACGCCATCACCCAGCGGCACCTACAGCAAGTAGCTCTTGGTGAGTATGCAGTAGAGCCCTCAGAATAAAGAGGGGTTTCCGTGCAGAGCCCTCAGAACAAAGGTGGGTGTGTGCTGGAGAGCCCTCAGAATGAAGAGGGGTTACACTTCAGAGCCCTTGGGATGAAGGGGGATGTGTGGATACATGAGCTTTCTTGTCAGGACCACCAACTCACAAATCATGACATAGAGACTTATTATTAATTATGAAAGTTTGGCTTTAGATTAGGTTTGTTCCTAACTAGTTCTTATAACTTAAATTAACCCATATTTTAAATCTGTGTTCTTTCATGTGGTTCAGTTATCTTTACTCTGTGTTGCCCATCCTGTTCCTCTGCATCTGGCTGGTGACTATACCTTTCTTCTTCCCAGAGCGCTCTCTGTCCAGAAGTCCCGCCTAGCTATTTGCCACTTAGCTTTTCATTAAACCAACCACAGTGGCGTATCTTCACACAGTATAAAGGAATATTCCACAGCAGGGATGTATGCTGTAGGTCCCTTGGAATAAATAGGGAGTAGTGCAAGCTAACCCAGATAAATGACAAGCCCTCACCACCCTGGAAGTTGAAGGAAGGCAAGGATTGGAGTCTGCATACCTCCTCTGGGATAACCAGCTCCCCAACCTATCTTCTTACCCAGGGCTGTTACTGATTGACTTTCTCGCTGCTTCATTATTCTCCCAAGCTCTCCCATCCTGTCCCACCCTGCCCCTCAAAGTGCTATTCTGAGCCTTCTAGAGGCGGACTGATCAATCCTAACCATAGCAACCTGTGGCAAAAACCAGCAACCCATCAGTGCCTGTGGCCTTGTGGGAAGCAGCTCTTTTCATCACCATCATATTCACAAGAGGCCAGGTCATCCTCCAGATGGGGGAGGTTCGGTGGTCTGCCTGTGGTCACACGGCTGGTGCTGACTGGAACCCCAGGTCCGTCTGCGCATTCCCATGACTCCTAGCCTACAGCAATGGTTGACTCCCTTCAGTGCGCTGAGAATGTCAACAGTAAACTCACATGGTCGTGGTCCAAGGGGCCTTCGGTGGCAGACAGATGCAGAAAGTGTCCCTTTTGATATGGGACTCGAGCAAATCATCTGGAAGATAGTGTCACTCTCCGGAAACATTGGTGGAACAGATCTCTGGGGGGGGGGGGAAACACCTCACTTTCTTTCCAAACAGCCCCCCACACCTCATGCTAGCCTGTGTCCTGTAGTGACTCACAATTGAAGAAACCCAGTACCCAGGGCTAGTGGAAGGGAAATAGTACATAAAATTGCCATGAGCATAACCCAAATCAGTAATAATAACGGCCACGTGAAATGACAACTGGCGAGTCACAATGTCAGGGTACGTGTGTCCAGGCCACCTACCCAGGCTCTGAGCCTCCCACTGCCAGCCTTCGAAGGGTCACACTGTGCACTCCATTGCAGGCTTGGCATACCTCCAGCTGACATAGTCTTCCGGTGCCATCGTCTCAGGGAACCTAAGGAAGGAAGGGCAGCCTTGTTAGAAAGATTTGCCAGTTGACCTGGGCCATGCGCCCTGCCCTGTGCTCACCCCGGGCATGTCGCTGGGGCAGAGTCTTCCCTCCTGTCCCTCACGCGGGTCCTTCTCTATCTTCCATATTGCTGACTCATTAGAAGTAGCGCCAAAGCAGAAAGGCCACTCAATCCAGAGGTGATTGTCACTTTGGCCCCGGGGAAGCATGCCCACAGCAGGCAAAGTATGACCGTTGAAAGCAAGGGCTACTCTGTCCCCTCTGCTCCCCAGCCCATAACCTCCCAGGTCTGGTCCCTCCCCACTGCGACAGGCACCCTCAGGACCTTGCTGCATGTTCTCCAAAATCATGCGCCTTAATTCTTCTGCCTGCCTGAGGCTGTCTACACTGCACAGGTATCAGGGTCAGCAAGGCCAGATGTCCTGAGGCAGCCATCAGCAAACTTCAAAGGAAAGGCACATGGGCAGAAGTCTAATTAAGAGCTCCATGTATTTTAAAAGCATATTATCCCAATTAGATACGAGGTGTTAACATCTCCCAGCTGCCCACTTTAGGGACTTGACTGCATCGCTGTCCTGGAGCCTTAGGCAGCTGTCTAATGTCTGCGGCCCCACGTGACCCCAGTAGAAGGGTTCTTGTCTGTGAAGGAGACTTTGTCCTCTGCCCTCACACTGCAGCTGGCTCGTACGTCAGGCTAGGAAGGAGGGCTTCTGAGTAGCCTCTGTACGTTGGTGTGGTCTGCGGTCCTGTCATTCTGGTTTCCAGTGCGAGAATTAGGCAGTGAGCAGCCAGGCAGCGTGGGCTTCACTGTCTTTGGTGTGTACTCCCTCTGCCTCTGCCTCGCCCTTTGGTTTAGGCCTGACTCACTAGACTTCTGTGTGTCGCTGGGTTTCTATGGAGGGCGGTTGAGTTACTGGTTGGGAGTACCCTGGGCACCAACCAAATCTAAAGCGGGAAAGGTTGGCCCACACATTCAGGATAAGAACACATCTCTATATGTAAACGGATCAGTGTCCAAGGAAAGTCATATGAAGACAACCCCATATCCCAAGGAACATAGATTTAGGGGTGATGTGAGAGGCGCCATTTGGAAGAGATCATTGCCTTGGTGAGGGAAAGCCAGGGGTGTGCCGGAGCTGGCTCCACCGTCACAGGAACTGGCTGTCAATGTGTCGGGAATGTGGGGTGCTGTTATTCAACACAGCTGATGTTGAAAATCAAATTATGTAAGTTTATAGATTCATTATATTTTAAAACAGACCCTTAAGTGTCGTCCTTTGCTAATGTGTGCTAATGTGTGCAGTTATCTGTGGCTGTCATACCTACCTCTGTGGTGGTGGTGGGGTCTGCATAGTGCATGTCACTCTCTGTTTCCCCGAGTCCACCTTTTGACATCACACAGCAGCTTGAAGGGAGAATTTACATCAGGGGAATGGGCAAATCTTCTAAACAAGGGCTTCTCCGCACGTGGCTGCCTTTGCTAGCACAGCACTGGCATACAGACAAGCACACCATGGAGCCAGCTGTGTGTGTGTGTGTGTGTGTGTGTGTGTGTGTGTAAACATGTGTGTGCTCAGGGTTTTCTCCTCCCTCTCCTGGCTACAAACACAGATTATGGCCCTCTTTTTAAACCTACCCAAACTGTATCGGCAACTCAAACTCCCTCAGCGCCTCGGTCCTTTGAAAACCAGTGGACAAGGAAACACATGAAGATTTGACATGTTATCGGACAGCACTGAGGCCTGTGAGCCTGAGGGATGCAGGGGTGGCCCTGAAGAGACACGCCAGTGGCCACTTGTCAGACCATCAAGAACAGGCGTGGCTGAGGGGAGAACTGGCGTGGGAATAAATGCTGTAGAGTTATTTCAACGCAGGCACAATTGGAGAGTTGAGAGTCTGTCACACGTCTCACTTTAATTCTTCTTCAATACTCACAAAACCCCCGGGAGGTAAATACTTCTCTAGGCCTCCAGAATCAGACACAGGACAACACAGCCGGTATAGGATGGACCTGGGAAACAATGCCCATGTTTGGGCAGGCCTGCTCTGTTTCCAGGCCCTATTGGGGACCCTGCTGATCCCCATGTTACAGCTAAGACCCGGAGTGGTTAGTGGTTACAGTCACATAACCAAATAGCCTACGTGATTCAGGCTCTGCCAGCTGCCACACCGCACTACCCTACACACTTTGCCTGGCATCCTGGTATCCATACAGGGGCACAGAACTAAAGCCTGCCCTCCCAGAATCTCCAGTCTAGGTAGAAAAAGAGGATGAGTACTAAGAAGAGGTCAGATTTGAGTCGTCAGAGTCAAAGCTGCCTATGTCTCCATCGACTGTCCTTTCCCTTGCATGTACGGAGCTAGCTCAGCCTTGACCCCCTCCAGGAAGACTCCCCTGGCCTCTTCCCCCCTCCTCACCCCAGCCTCTTCTCCCCGACCTCATTTTATAATACTATTATAATGACTAATAATTTCCAAGCTATTGTCCACATTAAAACATGAACTCCTTGAAAACTGGGTGTGGAGGAATTCAGCTGTGTGTCCCCAGCAGCCAGCATAAACAGTAAATAGGCCAGATCAATGGGCCAATGAATGCTTCCCCAGACGGCTTCCAGACCCACACATCTTGCAAAAGTACAATGAGACATTTGAACATAAAATAAAATAAGTCCATTTAAAAGAAGTAGAAGGAGTAAGTGCTTTTGGACCCGACGGCTGAGCAATTACACACACGGGCAATAAATCTGGCTCTCCCTTGTCTAGCCACAGAGGAAAAAAAAAGAAGCACCCAGAATTCCCGAGTTTTCATTTTCTGACAGCAAGGAGCGCACTAACTAATTTATCTGCAGAAATAGAATTTCTTCCTGGAACTAAACACAAGGCAGAATTTATCGTGCGGATCCTCGTGTAAAGGACCAGGAATGACGTCTTCAACGGCAGTTTCACAAAAGACATCCCAGTGTTGTTCGACCCAGTGATTCTCGTATCGACCTTCCACAAAAGCGAGAGGTCTGACATTAGAGCATACCTCACGGAGAATGTTCACGTGAGCAGCAGGGTAACCGGATCCAGGTAGTGAAAGCCTTCCATGGGGAATGCGCTGGCCAAGGCCGCACCTCTCCTCTTGAGCAACAGTGTTCTATGAAGGTGAAGGGTCACATTCCACTCAGGACCAAAACTCTAACAAGAACTGTGGTTGGAACTTAAAAACTGCAAGACGCTCCTAAAGGTGGCAAGAAGTCTGTCAGGTAAGAACAGCCCCCACAGCTTTGGGACATAGTTCAAGGAATGGTGTCTGGTGCCCATCACTGAGACCTCAGGGCAGGGCTGAAAGCTGAAGAGCTGGCAGGATCCAGAACCATAGGTATGACGTGGACTAAGGCTGAAGGTTTGGGGTGTGTGTGTATGTGTGTGTGTGTGTGTGTGTGTGTGTGTGTTGCACACTATACCCTGAGTTGGGCCTTCTCCTCCCCAAGCCAGGACAGTCAGGACAATCGAGCACATCCCA